CTTTCTCTCTCTCTCTCTCTCTCTCTCTCTCTCTCTCTTTCTTTCTTTCTTTTCTTTTTCCTTCCTTCCTTCCTTTCTTTTCTTTTTCTTTTTTTGAAGTTGAAGGTAAGGAATTGTAAGCAATTTCTCTTTAAACATATTACTGTTTGGGAGTTTATTTTATTTTTGTGAGTTGGGGCCAGGTTATCGTAGGCTGCAGTCGTGACCTGGGGCAGGAAGGGGGGACGCCCGGCTCCGTCCTCCCCAGGTTAGGAGGACAAGAGAGCGCAGACGAGTTGCCCCTGACCAGCCCGGCTCGCCCCCGTCTCTCCCGGCATCCCCCTGCGCGTCGCCTCCGCTAGAAGCGGGCGGTGAGATGGAGAAACTTGACTTGTCATCTCCTGGTCACCAGCTCTTTCCCTGTTCCCAAGGCACTCAGAGTCTTGTTCCCAAGAGCTGAGCACACCCTCCCGCGCCTCATCTCAAAGCCGCCTGGTGCTGGGGAAGTGGCCCCAGATGGACATGGGGGTGGGGCGGGGATGCACCAGTGAAGTAGGAGGCAGTGCTCACTCCGGGGCTCCCCTATATCTTGCTCTTCAGGCTGCTCAGCTCAGGGTCCCAAGCTTTGGCCAGAACTCTTCTTCCCCTCCCCAGTCTCAAAGGGGCTGCGTGCCTGGCGCGCTCCTTCTCCCCGGAGCCAGGTTTACATTTACGGTGTAAACTCACACCCACACATGCGCGTGCACACCCACACATGTCTTGGCTTCAGGAAGACAAGGAACACTCTTGTGCAGAATGCAGGCACATACTCACTCATTGACTCTCCCGTTTGGGATAGGCTCCTTCCCAGCCTCATAGGGCAATGGAGAGAGGGTTTGGGGGAGAGATGGGGCGGGAGGGAACAGTCACACTCTGATGATGCCAGGCACATTTTTCTGGAGTGACAGTTAACCCTTCCTCCGCTGGAAGCCGCTGTCAAGGCATTTTCTGAAATAGTCTGTGGGGTCTGCTTTTTTTTTTTTTTTTTTTTTTTCTCTTGGGCGGCCCAGGATACATCATTAGTTCCCTTCCTACTTCCCCACTCCATTAGCCACGGTCTTCTTTCTAAAATTAGATTTCCCCCTTCCCATTCTTCTGGCCTTCGGAGTTTACCAGGGAATTTTCAAGGAAATTCGCTGGATAATGAGAACAAGTGTGAGGAAGAGGATAAAGAGGAGACAGACAAATCGATCAGAAAACCAGAGAAGGAGACAGGAAGAGAGAAACAGTGTACTTCTTCCAGATCCTTCCTTAGTTTGCACAGATTGGTATTATCCTCCCTACAACCTCCAGGAAATGAAAAAAGTATAATCCTTGTTAATTACCTTTGCTTACTACATGCCATACAAGAAACTTCAGAGATGTCTCTACATAGGAAAGAAACTGTTTACAAAACTCTTTCAAAAGTGTGACATATTGCTCTAGTTCAGCACTAAAAAGCTAAACACACTTAGCCTCCTTTGAAGTGCCCTGGCTGGGGCCGCTTATTTGAGTGTGGTTCAGATATTGCTGTGGGTATAACTAATGGCTTCTACCTATTTAGCTCAAGTGGGAGGAGAGAAAGGCCTGAATTCCTTGTCCAATGGGTCCCTCTGGAGACTGGGTTCTGGCTTCTTGCCAGTTCTGTACAATGTCAACATTGAATATTTGAATTCCCAGACTCTATTTAACAAGTTTCTAAATAAATAAACTCATTGTGTGTCTGTGTTTAAAATTATTTCACCTCTTTCATAAAAGCTACAGCATCTTATTACATTGGCCTTGCAAGTTGATTTAAAAAAATAAACAAACAGATCTTAAGGCATTTTAATAGCCAGATCTCTACAATTTGTATGTACTGTGAAGCCATTCTCTTCCGTGTGGCTGTGTAGGGGCTACTTAGAGGGATTGTGGGCTGTTCTGTGTGACCTGATAGTGAATTATAATAAACACGTCAACTAAGTTCAGAAAGTCAGTGAAATATTAACTGCATCTAAAAGAAGACTTGACTGTAAACTTTAGTGTATTTAGATATTTGATAATTTTGTCTACTAGGTCTACAGGGACAGAGAGCCTTCGTGTCCTAAATGGCTGTCTGAATACAGACCCCCTCTCCTATCGATATCAGTAGGTCTAGAACTCTGCACAGATGGTTTTGTTTCTAGGCATTTTTTATCTGTGTATTTTTCTTGTAAGTTGGAAGCAGTAAATATACAGATATCCTCATATTTCACTTTGATGAAAAAAACCACAAGTCCTATGGTTTTACTAATTACTCAGCATTTAAATATCCATACAGCATTTTTATACATATAGAAGCATCATTGTTCTAAGAAGTACATACTGATTTTTTTTTTTTTTTTTTTTTTGAGACGGAGTTTCGCTCTTGTTACCCAGGCTGGAGTGCAATGGCGCGATCTCGGCTCACCGCAACCTCCGCCTCCTGGGTTCAGGCAATTCTCCTGCCCCAGCCTCCTGAGTCGCTGGGATTACAGGCACTCGCCACCATGCCCAGCTAATTTTTTGTATTTTTAGTAGAGACGGGGTTTCACCATGTTGACCAGGATGGTCTCGATCTCTTGACCTTGTGATCCACCCGCCTCGGCCTCCCAAAGTGCTGGGATTACAGGCTTGAGCCACCGTGCCCGGCCTTGATTTTTTTTTAAGGCAAGTTCTAGTCCTTTTGAAAGTGTGGACCCCATCTGAAGTTGTTAGGAAAGAAAGTAGAATTTACTCTAATTTATGTATATAAAGTACAACGTTATTAGTAAGAATGGGATTTGAAAGGGCACACAGCAAACCCCATAACATTTAGTGGGTAACGTGGAGAACTCAAAGCCAAGACAAAAATACCATCAACCATGCAAACCTTAAATAGATTACAATGACCTCAGCCATTTTCGTTTTCAAAAATAATAGCCGTGATTAAAATGGAGGAGTATTTTGCTTGGAACCACTCTTTAGCATTATTATAAAAGCTGTTTTGTGCTAAAAGAAATGTTTCATTATAGAAAAAAAGGCAACTGAATTTTTAATCAAATTCCTGACTTTTCAAAAGAGCTCATTCTTGAATTAATTTTTATTTTTATTTTAGTTATTATTCTTATTTGTTAGCAAACATGTTTTGGCTTGTATATTCAGCCAAATTCTTGACTACTGACTTTTATAACAATTCTAAAAGATACATTTATTTAGAAAAGAGATTTTGTTATCTTAGTAAACGTGTGTAGGGGTCATTAACTACAGAACAAAAAGATCCAACGTTTCCTTAACCTTGTTCAAGAACCTGCCTAAATGAATTCATTGTATATGTCAATGTTGTTCAAATGATGACATTTATGAATGAAAGTCCTTGTACATGGCAATTTTTGGGCTTTGGCAGTGGGCAGGCATACACAACAAATATCAATGTGCTAGGTCCTGTGCCCAGGCAAACTACATTCCCTACACTCACAAGTGTCACAAACGTGCACAACAGTGTTTGAATCTGGGCATGATCCCTGACTGAACAGCGATCTCTTTGAGTTATTGAATGCCCCTGAGGCCCAGCATCTTTGCTTGTGAAATGAGAGTAATAATACTGTCCTCCTTGGGCTGCTGTGAGGGTTAATTGGTAAAATGTGTGCAAAGTACCTAAGGCACATGCAATCAATCAATAAATCTTAGATTCAGTTTCCTTATAATTTATCAGTTAAATTTTCTGAAGAAGAAACATCCCTTTTTTCCATCCTGGTCAGTGTTTTTACCTAATTTGATTCTTAGAAGTATTTGCATGCCTTTAGTAAGCATTTTGTATGTCTTCTCAATAAATTATGCCCTCAGAATGAAGGGAAGTCACATCTAAAATTTGGCCACATTAAAACTGTCCATACCAAGCCAAACTAGTCAGTAAATTTATTTTAAAAACTTGAGCATCTTCCTATGCCCTTTACTTGGAGTGGGGGTGAGGGGGATGTGTAAATAAAATGATTGAGATTTCAACTTTTCCCCACAGATGTTGGCACTGTGTAAGCCACATATCCCAAATTTAGTTTTGCATACTCTCTAGTTGTCATTAGAAAATAATCTCTCCTGAATAAAAATCTGACTTTTAATGGAATGAGTTTGTAAGTCACTTTACTACTGTGGCTGAGTTACTCCTCTCTAAATGAAGGAATTGGACTAGAGCAGCGCTTGTAAATTTGCGGGTACCATAAATAAGTGAAGCAAGGTAGGTATAAGCCTTAAGCTCTCTCCTATTTTTATTTAACTTTTCGACGCCCAGGCTTTGTATTCCAGAACAAGAGGGCGTGGTGGGAACAGTGGAAAAATGGCAGTTCAAACTTCCTCTAAAGGTGGCAGCTTCTCAGTTCCAGCTCAGTGTTACCATTTGGGCAAGGGGGTTCAGGGCTACCAGGTCTTCTACTTTTTAAGAGAAGCCACACATCTGGGTTTCTATGTAAATTTTCTCTACTTTGTGAAATGTTGATTCAATTTTAAAAAATTCTGCAGGCCCAGCCCAACGCCTCTGACTATAATATATAGTTTGTAGGGTTTGCAATGTCTGGATTCATTGATTTCCAAGGTTCCTTTAAAGTTTCATTTTATGATGATAGCCATAAGCGTTTCTGAATATTACCTGTGTTTTTAAGATCTATATCTTTCTCCCCACACCAAAGTTAGTGTGTGTGTGTGTGTGTGTGTGTGTGTGTGTGTGTGTGTGTGTTTTGATAGGTGGAAGTATTTATTACAGAATCTGATATCTGGCCATTTATCTGGAAAAATAGTCTTTTACGACCATGTTGTGTCTTTCTTTCCCTCCATGTCATTTCATCATTAATTGGCTTAAGAAAATAAACTGAAACATTTCCTCCCCTTCTTGTAGCCACTGGCCACCATTCTTTCTTATTTCTTACTAAACCCAATTCTTTGATTTGTGGGCTTCGAGTTGGGCAGTAAATCATTAGGAGACAGTGGGAGAAGGAGTCATTTGGCTACTGTGGCTATTCAGAGGAAGAGTTCACCCCTGCCCTCCTAGAAGGGTCCAGATGTAATGTCCTGTACATCTGCAACTGAGGTACCCAACTGATTTTTAAGACCTGAACCTAGGGTGGAGAAATTAGTTCTTAAGGGATGAATGTCTTATCTGACAAGGGAGGCTTTCTTTGTCAGAAGGTCATATATGTTCTGGGAACATGTGAAAATAAACATATCTTGCACTGTTTATATTCATAAGTGTATTTCTAGCTGAAGTGATAGGTGAATAGCAGGTAAAATTAAGTCTTTAGGATGAAAGGTGTGGTGATGGAATGTCAACACAATGGACTCTCCCAATAAAGATTTGACTAAGCAATTTACAATGTCTAACTCAATACTGTAGTCATGGGACTTGTCAGTGAACACATGTCACTATCAGCTAACATTGTTGGGAATGTCATCGTATTAGGGAATACCTTTAGAGGAGGATTCTGAGTAGTGATGAACCACGCTTATAAGCATTATCAATGGGTTATCTCAATGGGAATGGTTACCTCATTCCCAATCTTGGCATTTACCTGGTGCTGAATCTCAAATTCCTTAGCTTGGCTATTGAGGGGCTCTACTTTTGTGCTGGGAGGATGTGGTGACTCTGAGTACAGAGTGGGAGTTAGATTTGCCTGGGTTTGAATCCTGGCTCTACCACTTACTAACTGGTTGAAATGAAGGCAAGCCATGTAACCATTTTGTGCCTCAGTCTCCTTACTTATGGAGTGTAGGTACTTACCTCATGTGAGGACTTGATCAATGAATGCATTTTGAATACCTTAAATAGAGCTCAACACATTCTTTTTTTGACTTTTCAGGCTTATCTTACTCAAGACTGGTCCATTCAGCTTAAACATTGTTTATTCATTCTGTACTTCTCACTCTCTTGTCAGCCTATTCTTGTGTTTCTACTTTCCGGCTTTTGGCCATAATGTTGCCATAGTTTGTAAATCTACCCATACTGCACCTTGACCGTCAAAATCTAACTCCTCTAAGATTTCATTTGAACTCCTGCTTCTTCGTGATCACTCCTGGAGATATGACTTATCTATGTTATTTTATTCCAATAGTATGGAATTATCATCATTTTGGCATTTTATTATAAATTACTTGTCTTCATGGTGTATATCTTATTTTTCTAGATCAACTGTAAAACTCATGGAGAGCCCATTTCTGTTTTATATAGGGCCTAATACTATGCTTTGCATATGGCAGATATCAATACGATTAGGTGATGGTGGTTAGCAATGGGCTTTGGAAGATTATGTGAACCCCTTCAATTTCTTTGCCTGTAAAACCTGTGGACTTAAGTAATGTCAGCACTGGAATTCTGGGATATCTGACACTTCAGTTGTGTACTAAATCCACAATTGACCTATTTGACAGTGATAAACCACCTGGAAAGTAGAGTATTATTCCTAATTTTCATCAATAATGCCCTCATTTTGCCAATGCAGGTATAGCCCATGACTTCTCACTTAAATCACAAATTGCTATTGATCTTAAACTCTGTACTAGACCTGATTCTAGAGAATGTCAGAGGACTCAAGGTAGAGATGGTAAAACGTTCTGTGGACTCATGTAATTCTTAGGGATTTGGGAATATTCAGTTTACAAGTCATCAGAAACCTAGTTTTTACCTAAATCCTCACACAAATTTAGGCAGTTTTACTGCCTATTTTATGCTCTGTTAATATGGAGCATGGTGTCAAGAATTTTGCTGTATATTTAAATGCACTTTTACGATTAAAGGTTCTTTTAATTTAAGGTTGATAGATGATGTATTGAATCTTGTATTACTGGTTAAATTAACCCAACTCACTCAACTCTGTCCCCTTAATTCAAGTGCAAAAATGACTTCTTCTCTGCCCCTTTCCCACTCCTCTAACCCCCATCTGTCATTTCACAAATCAACCATCTCTATAGAGAAAATAGGACTCTTTGTGTCTTGGGCAACTAACCTCAAGTCCTGAATGATTACAGGCTTTTAGAGCCTGTTAGGGGTTTTCTTTTACCAAGACCAGCCACATGTGATTTCTTGTTGTATGCTTAGGACTGCTTCTAAGTCAACAGGAACCCCTTTAAATGAGGGTAAGACTGAAAACCACAGCTTTTATGACTTTACCTTTGGTGGAAACTATGAAATAAGTAATAAAATGTTTCATGATAAAATGATAGTAAAAACGAATGGAGGGAATCGTCCTTCCATTGGTTTTCGCTACAGTCATAGTTCATGACCTTCTTTTGGGTCCCAGACTCCTGTGAGAATCCAATGCAAAGTATGGAGCTTCTTTCCAGAAAATGTACATGTACATAAATATTTTCATGCAATTTTAGCAGCTCATGGATTTCTAAATTTCTAAATGGTTGAATGGGGGTTTAACCATTTGTTCAGTCTTGATTCACCTTAGCATGTTTATTATAAAACATCTTAAAGTTTTTATCAATCTTTCTTCATTTTCCTATAAACTATTTTTTTCTTATTACAAAATTTATACACAATATTTTTTAAATGACAAGAATGTATCAAATACAAAATGAAAGTTATTTTCTTTTTTTTTTTTTGTCATAAATTGCCTGGAGATGACCACCATTCATCCTTTAGTGTAACTTCCAGCAGACTTTTCCCCCTTGTATATATTAGTACATACGTACATAAAGATTTATAACTTTTTACAGCAACTTGTTTTTCTTTTTTTTCTTCATAGGTTATAGGGGTACTTGTGGTATTTAGTTACATGAGTAAGTTTATATGATCTCAGATGATTTGTGAGATTTTGGCACACCCATCATCCGAGCAGTTTACACTGCAACGTATTTGTAGTCTTATCCCTCACCCCCCTCCCACCCTTTCCCCAAAACTCCCCAAAGTTTATTGTATCATTCTTATGCCTTTGCATTTTCATAGCTTAGGTCCTGTATATCAGTGAGAACATCAATGTTTGGTTTTCCATTCCTGAGTTACTTCACTTAGAATAATAGTCTCCAATCTCATCCAGGTCGCTGCAAATGCCGTAACCAAAAAAGAAAACCATAGACTGATATCCCTGATGAACACAGATGCTAAAATCCTTAACAACATAGTAGCTAACTGAATTCAACAACATGTCAGAAAGATAATCTGCCATGATCAAGTGGGTTTCATACCAGGGATGCAGGGATGGTTTAACATAGGCAAGTCAATAAATGCGATACACTACATAAACAGAATTAAAAACAAAAATCACATTAGCATCTCAACAGGTGCGGAAAAGGCATTTGACAAAATCCAGCATCCCTTTATGTTTAAAACTCTTGGCAAAATTGGCATTCAAGGGACATATCTCATTGTAATAAAAGCCATCTGTGACAAACCCATGACCAACATAATATTGAATGGGGAAAAGTTGAAAGCATTTCCTCTGAGAACTGGAACAAGACAATGATGTCCACTCTCCCCACTTGTCTTCAACATAGTACTAGAATTCCTAGCCAGAGCAATCAGACAAGAGAAAGAAATAAAGGGCTTTTTCTTTTTTTAAACTTAATAATATATCTTGGATCTTTTGTCTGTATGTATCAATCTAAACCATTCTTTTTAAAGGCAGAAGATCCTCTATTGTTTGGATCTTACACATTTCATTGAACCAATTCCCTATGGATGACATTTGGATAGTTTCCAGTTTTCAGAACAGAACAGACAGAGAAGTTCCCTAAGCCAGGATCCGAAGGAAAATGAAAGTGAAGTCTACAATTAAAGGAAGCTCACAGTTCAGGGTGAAGTGTGCTGACCTCTGAGACACCAGCACAGCAGGGCTTTGGGGAGGTCAGAGAGGGTTGCCTTACCCTGTCAGGGCAGATCAGATTTCTAAGCATCTTTACCCCCTGGAAGATCAAGGGTCTAAGACCAGAGCTAAGGTATATCTTTATAAGATCCACTGTGATATATCTGTGATATTTCAAGCTTACTGGATTATTTTGGCTCTCATATTATGACCCATTTTCCATTTCTTCCTGTTGCTTGGAACAGGCTGTAGCTGAAATCAATCCATGTAGCCCCAGCTAGATAAGGCTAAGTAAGTTGTTAGAGTTTCAGGCCTCAAGGTTTTTATTTTGTTGTTGTTAAGTGATTTCCTTGTTTGTGTGGGACATTATTATCATACTGTCTTATGCTGTACATGTACCTAAAGCCAGCTGATGAGACTAGACCTACCAGACTTTTTTGATGTTCTTTAAAAATTTACCCACAATAATTTCTAGCTTATGAATTGGAAAGAGCATTTTTATAGGAAAATGTTTTTCACTTGGTAATCAGAATATGGGAAAAGTTTTATAATGGAAACTATCTCTTACTTTTAACTATAGGATAAAAAATATGACAGTATAATGTTACACACTAAAGCCCATTAGATGCAAAATTCCAGTTTTTGATTATAAGTTATAAAGCAGGATAGAGAGACTTCTGAAAAGTGGTTTTCTTTGGCAATGATGTTGTTGATTAAATATAAAAAATTCAGAAAGAATTAGTTCAGCCTATTCCTTTACACAGAAGGTTATAAAAATGGAATAGCTGGGTTTTGGTTCTACTGGGGAGAACTATTTTACTTATAAAAACTCAATGGATTATATCAGACTGCAAATATATTCACATTTTAGATTGGATTTGAAAAGGTACCATTCAAGGAATTAAAATTATTCATCTAAATCTTTTAGGGATTAATTTACTTTGGAATTTTAATTCCCATTTATTTTCATTTTAATTTGGCGCAATATTTGTTCCAAATGCATACATTTTGTGTGGATGTTTATAGATTGTTCCATGAGGGCATTACACTAGTTAACATTTTTCAACATATCTTTTAAATTAGATAAATCAAATTGAATTAATAGTTATTGAATACCTAGTATATGTAAGGCATGATGAATTAAATCCTATAAATATTCAATTTCCTGAAAATATTGAACACCAACACTTGACAGACATACATATATCCCTGACAATGATTTATTAACAGAGAAAAAAATATCCATGACTACAAACTGGTTTTGTGAGCTTGGAATACTGAATCCTAAGTCTAACTCTTTTCTAGATTTTTTTTTTTTTTTTTTTTTTTTTTGAGACGGAGTTTTGCTCTTGCCGCCCAGGCTGGAGTGCAGTGGCGCAATCTCAGCTCACTGCAATCTCTGTCTCCCTGGTTCAAGTGATTCTCTTGCCTCAGCCTCTGGAGTAGCTGAGACAGGGTTTCACCTGGTGTCCAAGCTGCTCTCAAACCTATGTGCTCAAATGTTCTGCAAGCCTCGGCCTCCCAAAGTGCTGAGATTACAGGCATGATCCACTATGTCAGCTTGGTGTTTTCCTGAAAAGTCTGCCTATCACATTTGTCTGTTGTTAGGGAAATGCTGATTGTAATAACTGAGTAAGATGTAGGATGTATTTACACAGCCTATAAATACTTTATAGAAATACAAGCCTTGGGTCTGCAGATGGGCGAATTATTCTTTTCATGCTCACAGCTTTAGTGTATTTTATCCTTTGTGCAGTTAGAGCAAATTTTCCCATCACAGTTTAAGAACAAGTTCTCTTTAAAGAATCTCAAAGAATTCCTCCAGCTTCTTGCCACCTAGAGCTCTGTCTGAGAGCAAAGATTTGATCAAAATGCCCAAAGTGAAGTCTCCGTGGTTTCCAAAGGTGCATCTTTCTGCTAGGTTCAATTTTATCCAGTAGAAAACAGTGCTACTCCCAAACTAACATGAACTCACAGAAGTGGCTTGTCTCTCAGGCTGGCATGTGATTTTCTTGTTCATGAAACAGAAATAAGAATAAAAAGCACTGTCTTCTCTTCCAACTGTCTTTGCCAACCATCTTGCTGAGCTGTGTGTATGCATCCAAGCCAATGTTCCAGCCACTAGGCTTGGCACAGAAATCAGGGCATTGAACATCATTACTTTTGGGCACAGTCTGAAATTCTAAGCAGAATTCCCTATTTGCCTAAATGCATAAAATGTGAGTAATTTATGTATCCCGTTAGTAATGTTGCAGTATTAAAATACCAGCATAGACATGGTTTGACCCATGAAACAGCATTGTATCATCTTTTTTTTTTGACCTAAAAATACTGGGGTGATGGATCATTAGAGGATGGTAAATGTCAAGGTAAAAAGCATTATATGTCTAGGGTTTTCAAAGTGCCTCATGGTCTCTATGTCAAATCTCTCTTCCTGCCCTCAAGTGATGGTATTATTAGTCACCAAGGTTTAACCTTCAAGAAGAGAAAATACTCTGATACCTAATACAGTACAATGAGCTGCATCTTAGTTAAACTTCCAAGTGAATCCTTGGCTGGGACTTGTAGAATGTAACCATTTGTTTGTTTCTACTGCTTCTGGAGTAATTTACCTAACCATCTCATCAGATCTCATTATGAAGCTTTATAATTACTAATAGTTTTCCTAAGAGGAAAATGCTTTCTGTGGTGTTTTGAGCCCTACCCACCTTGAAGATAGGGACTTGTTTATTTTTTCTTATGTGTGATCATCTCAAAAGTTCAGCACACTTTGGGTATTGTGAACACATTTTCTGGTGGCTAATGCTGACTGGGAAGTCAGGATGTAGGGGTTTGAGTCTCAAGCTTGCTACTCATCAGTATGGTATCCTTCTGCAGGGCATTAAGCCTCTGAGCCTCAGTGTCCTCAAGTATAAGACTGGAACAATAATTACCTCTGCTTTGAGTTCTTTCAGACCAGTAATAATAACATAAGATGGTATATGGGTAAGTTTTTATCAGCTGCAAAAAGCTGTGTGAGGTTTTTTTTTTTTTGGCATTGAGATACCTGGCAGCTGCTGTGTAAATTTAATACACACTTAGAATTTCTTATTATAAACTCTAGAAATTACAGAATATTAAAAATGCTAAGATAGTATTAAGAATGTAGACTCTGAGCCACATTATTTAGGTTGGCATCTTGGCTCTATCACTACCTAGCTGTGTGGCATGGGCTGGCTATTTACCTCTCTGTGCCTCAATGTCATCATCTATCAAATGGAGATAATTAATAATAGCAACAATAAGTAATAACGCCAGTCAAGGTTGTTGAGTGTTCATGCATTATTGCGGTTAATCCTCACATCTCTATGAGGTGGAGGATATTATTGTCTTAGCTTAGAGATGAGCGCCCTGGAGACATGTTTGTTCTTTGCTCCAAGCCTCTTACATTTAAGTGCAGAGCCAGATCCAAACCTTGATCTGTTTTACAGTAAAGTCCAAGAACTTAATCTGAATGAGTACTCCACTGCCTTATTTTTTTCAAATACAGAAATAAAAGTAGAACATTACATTGTCTGGGCATTCTCAAACTCATAAAACGTAGTAAGACTTGGTTAAAAGACACTTTAACTCAAAGAAATGATTTCAAACAACTGTTAGTAAAGACAAATTTTGCTGTGATTTAAAATGAGAAATCTTCTTTTTATGACAGGGGCTGGTCATCACTTCATCTCTCATTTTCTTCCTCAAGTTATCTGCATTGTGATTTTCTATCACATGATTTTAGTTTTATTTAGGTAACTCCAAACATCTCTGCTGAATGAATGACTTAGAGATACTTCATTACTTCATTGCTTGATATCACAAGCTAATTATACCTTATCATTTACCAGTACATAGATGGTGCTAGATTCAGATTTTCATTTCCTAAACAATGTATTGTGACAGTAAACTTGCCCAAGCTCACCAGAATATTTTTAAGGCAAGGAAAGCTATCTACAACTTTCTAATTTTTTTTTTTTTTTGATACAACATCTGAAACCAAGTCCTGTTCACTTATCCTCAATTTTGTTTTAATATTCAAATGACTTGGGCCTG